GTGTGTGTGTGTGTGTGTGTGTGTGTGTGTGTGTGTGTGTGTGTGTGAATGTGCTCAGGGTCAATTATAGTCGGATATGATCTGTGCGAATAGTTTGGTTCATCAGACAGGACCTAAGCCTGTATTTTAAAATCTTTGAGTCGGGAAGACTGAAATGCAATTTGGATATAACTGCTCCCTAACTGTTCCAGGTCACTATGTCGTTCCTGGGAATGTGGCTGGGAACGGCCAGACATCAGAGACCCTCTCCAAAACTTTACTACCCAGCTCCAACTGCACTGTGAGTATACATGTACATAGGTGCATTTGAAGAAGTAATGTAGTAACAAGCCTAACTAAGAATGCTGACATGCTAAATAGCATGTCATGTTTACCATGTTCGCCATCTTAGTATAGCGTGTCAACATGCTAAACTTTGCTGATTTGCACTAAACACAAAGTACAGGTGAAGCTAATGGGAATGTCATAAGTTTAACAGATATTTGGTCTCAAACCAAAGTATTGGATTTCAAATATTTAACCTGATGATGGTGCTAAATGAAAAGTTAAGTGTTTACCAAAGTGATTTCAGCTGTGTTTCAATCTCTGTATTTTTTGCTTTACTTATCTGGCACAGCACAAATACAAACCTCTGAAGGCTTACAGTAAGACCTTGCTGCTGCTTTGTGTGTATGTAGCTCTTATCATCTATCTCTTGCTTATCTCTGTTTTACAGTACATTACAGGTTGATCACAGTTCATAAGACTGTTCAGCGTACTTAGATAAAAGCAAGTGACTAATTCTTCTTTTTAAAGCGCATCATGACCTTTTTTTCTGTACATCCCTTTACTGTGATGACTCCTATTGTATCCACGTAGGTGAGATTCTTCTACTTCAGCCTGGATGATGCTACAGCCGGACTGACAGCCTGGTCCAGGACGCTGCAGTCTGGGAGTGACGACGCTGTGTTATGGCTCAGAGAAAACTCACACAGCTACAGCTGGCAGAGAGCAGAGGTCACGTTCTCCTCCTCAGTCAGTAGCAAGGTCAGTGAGGAGACAGTTGGGAGCTTCGGTCAACCAGGGCCTCATTTATGAAAATGATTTGTTAATTTGATATTGTCATATGTGCATTATTTAGATATCAATCATTAATTTTGCAGGTATATCGCGACACCCCTGGTCTTTAAAATGTCATAAAATGTTTTTTTAGAAATGGCCCATGATAGGTTTCTAGAGCCTGATGTGACGCATTTACGTGTCTTTTGTCCTTAACAACAGTCAGAATATCATATCATATGGGAACGCAATGATAAAAGGAAGATTTTTATGACTCTGCGGCAACGACAGCTATGGCCGGAGGAATTATGTTTTTTGGTTGTCCGTCCTTCCGTCCGGTCCATTCTCGTGAACACAATATTTCAGGAACACCATGAGCCGATTATTTTTGTTCCAATTTGGCTCAAATGTCCACTTGCACTCAAGGATAATCTGATTAGAAATTTGGTGGTCAAAGGTCACTGTGGCCTCGCAAAACACGTTGTTGGCCATAACTCTGATTTTTTTTAAAGATTGTCTCCTTCTCAGATTGTCTTCAGATATGAGCCAGGTGATGGTCTCAGAGGGCTGGTTGCGCTGGACGACATCTCTTTCTCAAGGGAGTGTCTATTTGACCCTGACAACAACAAACTGCCTGACCTATCCTCCACCTCCGCCCCACCTGTATCCTCTAACACTCCAGCCTCAACTGCACCAACCCTCCCCTGTCAGGTAAACTACTGAAAATAAGCTCATGCCTGCAAAAGTAAATTATGTGAAACATAAATTAATCCATTAAACACATTTTTAAACCTGTATAATCCAGAGCCGCTGTTCTCTTTCTTCGGTGTTGCAGGATAATGAGTTTTTCTGTTGGCGATCAGCTAGAGAAGTGTGTATTCTGGAAACTCTACAGTGTGATTATCATCCAGACTGCCCACAGGGGGAGGACGAGGATGGTTGTGGTGAGCTGCGTGTTTCATCGACTGACAAATGCTTTTATCATTCTGTCAGCAGAAAAGTACAATGTCGTACGGTAACAAATCTTTTTTTTATTCGGGTTGATTCATTACCAGGCTACTAGATTTAAATTAGGGTGGTAACTAATTCTAATTCTAATTCTTTTAAGTGGGGAGAACGAGATAAATTGAGCATGTGGGTCAAAATTACTGTGCAGAAAATGAGTCATGTGATCACTGAAGTTTTCCTGCTGGATACAATGCGTAGTGACTAAAAGGATTAGGAAGGTCAAGAAGTAGTTTTATTTAATTTAATTTCACATTTTTACCTTTTATATGTTCAAATATCAGATAACCTGATTAGTTGCATGTTCCAATTTTGCAACATCAACTTTTGTATGTATAAGGTATATGCAAGTTGTGATGATGGTTGTGTTTTTTTTCAAGCATAAGAGAAATGATTACCATTTAAGGAAAAAGGGATTATACTGTTTACTCACAGAGAGTACTCAACCACAAGACCAAAGTTTATTCACCTCCTTTTTTCCCAGCGGTCTTTCTCACGCCTTGTCTCAAACTTTCAGGCCGGTGCACATTTGAGAGTGACCAGTGCCAATGGACGGACACCAGTGATGGACAGAGCAGGTGGCAGAGACAGAAAGCCAGTAATGACACCGAGCCGCCCACTGATCACACTACAGAGACAGGTGACTTTAGGGGCTTATTGACTTATTGAATAGGTTATTGATTTGAATGGACCCACAGGACAAGAATTCAAAGGATAACATGACATCAGATGAGATAATCATCACTACACTCCACTACCTACATGTTTAAGAGTCCACGCTTTTGATTCAGGATGTTTTCCCTCGTTCTCAGGCTACTACATGAGAGTGAATTTCAGTCAGGGGTCCACACAGACTGAAGCCCGACTCCAGAGTCCCCCACTCCCCCCTTCATCCGCCTACTGCCAGATTCTGTAAGCGATAGCCACTACATTGATGGCTACGTTTCTCTTATTATCATCCCTAATGTCTGTGAAATATTTGTTTTGATCCAGAGTTGAATATTTAAAGTATGAATTGCTCAATGTTCCGCACCACCCTCGTCTTTCTAACACGCAATTCTCTTCCCAATCCAACGCTCTCCCCTTCTTCCTTCCTTCTTTCCTAAACGCAGGTTTCACTTCCACATCACTGCAGAGACTTCTGGGTCACTCAGAGTGCTTATGCAGCAAGCTGAGGGGAGTGAAGCAATCCTGTGGTCACGCAGTCACAACACTCTCTCCCATTGGCCCCCAGAGCATCTGCCTGTAGGCCTGCACCAGCAGCCGTATAAGGTGTGGTAAGGTATCCACTGAACAGTTAAACAGTTACGTTTTAATCCTCACGAAAGAGGCATACGCAAGAGTGACATATTAAAGAAAACAAACTCTTAAATGGATACAGGAACATTATGAATGAAGAAGCTTGCATACAGAGCACGGGGGTTCACTGCATGGTTTGACGACGATGAAAATAATGTGAATCACTACGTCTCAATCCAATTCAATACATATGGAGAAGGTTGACTGTCTTGGCAGCTTGTGGTGGTCCAACACCTCACTGAGACATCATCTGTATATTCACAATGAATGGAGATCTCATACAAAAACATACATTTGAAAGTGCATATATGTACAATATGTGTTGGAAACGGATGTATTGCCGAATGTGTCAAGTAATGCTACTTTTGTGTAGGGTAAATATATTGCTGTATAGTATACAGTATTTATCATATGCAGTATATCTCAATGTGATAAAAACCCTAGTATGTGCAATCCTGTTATTAAATTTGTATTTGTTGGCTAAATATGATTGTGAATACTGTATTTCCAAATTTACTTTTAATACATTTTACTGTCACAGCCTGGCTCATGGCTCAAAAGCACGCAAGTAATGATTTCTATTGTCAGGTTTGGTTCAGCGGCATGAATGAAGTGATTCAGACGGACACGACTTCTGGAGATGACATTGTTGCCGTGGATGATATCTCTTTTATAAACTGTGAAAAATCCTACCAACCACCTGGTAAGTAAGGTTTCCATCAACATTACATGTACATTTATTGGACATGAGTAGTAGTGGTATGAATCATTACTTTATTAAAAAACTAAAGAGCACTGAGGAAGAAAAGCTGGCTACTCTTTAAACTATGTTTCCCTCCTCAGCTCTGTCTGCCTGTGGCTGCTCCTTTGAAGTTGGTCTGTGTGTTTGGGTTCAGGGGGCTGAAGATGAGCTGGACTGGCTCAGCAGGTCTGGTCCCACTGAAACCCCCAACACCGGGCCTGCAGGAGACCACACTACCGGCAAAGGTCCCTTTTATTCCACACTACCTTTCGACAAGTAGTGTCCTAAAACATTATTCTAATAAATGAATTGTAGTGTTTTGCGCTTATTAGTTACTTTTGTTACAAAAAGAACATTAATGCCTGTGCTGGGAATGTTTCTTTGAAGACGGCTTTGTTAACTTTTACAGTTACTGTGGCTTCAAGTGACAATTTCTGGAAATTCACAAGAAGTCACAAGAAGAGAGGAGTCATTAAGACAGAAAACTGACTCAATATTGTTAGTTATCTCATCTAAGGAGTTGCAACAGGAATAACAGCGGTGCATTTTTATTTCTTATGAATTCATGTTTTCATTTGAAGGAAGATTACGTCATAACTTCTTGTACAAATCTGGCTTTAAATTGATGACAATAAGGTGTTTCTCAATCTGGGGTTACAAGATGATTATCATGGTCAGAAACAACAAAAAAGTCCCCCCCCCCCCAATTTTACTTAAAAAAAAATCCTTTTCTCTAATCTTGTCATTTTTTAATCTTTCTTTTCTGATTCTTTTGATTTTCAAATGAAAATCACTCTTTGCTTGAATTCCTCTCAGCTCATAGATTTATACAACCTATGACGAGGAGTTACAAGTTCACATGTCAAAGGGCGTCAAAAGCCAGAAAGGTATTTATGGTTCCGTTGTTTTACAGGGAAATACATTTACATCAAAAGTTCCCGACCAAGTGTGAAGGGAAATGTGGCCCAGCTGAAGTCTTTGATGCTGCCACCTGCTGGCGAACAAGGATACTGTTTCACATTTTGGTACCACATGTTCGGATCTACTGCCGGCTCCTTGAGGATGCTTCTACAAACAACTGATCCCTTGACAAAAACATTGGTGAAAAGTTTATGAAATTTGTAGTTTTCTCAGTTTATTGCATGTTCCAACAAGCATAGAGATAAGGTCAGAGAAGGACACTTTTTTTGAGTCTGGACACCTCACTTCCCTTTACTACAATGTTAGAAAAACGGTTGATTGAGAAATATTTGTGACTGCTCCCATTGGGTTTTCTCTCTGTTATTATACTTTTCACGTAGTTGTGAAATGCTGATTGCAAAATAGCATTAATGCATTGTATAGTGAGTGCAAGCTGCACAGTTTCAGCGCCTACCACGATGTTGCAAAAACCTCACATCCTCATTGTGATGAGTGAATCAGCCTCCTGTCCTTCCTGTAGGTGTGGCAAAAATCAGGAAATCAAGGAGATGAGTGGCTGCTGGTGCAGAGCCACGTGAGCTTGCAGAAAGTCCACCAAGTGATTCTGGAGGCTACAGTGGGGGGAGAAGCAGGAGACATAGCCATCGATGACATCTCCCTCATCAGCGGACCATGTCCTGCCTCTGGTAATACAAACTGAAGAGTTCCAGAAAAACAAACAACATTTGACATTTTGGTTCAGTTTCGACTGTAATTCTCAAGTATTTTCTTCACTTTAAAGTGATTCATTATGTAAAAGATTGAGTAGAATAGCCAGGAAAAGAAGGAGCCATGGCACATTTTCAAGAATCACTGTCTCTCCCCAGTGAGTCACATCCACTCAACCATATCTTCCTCCTACTAAAAAGAAAAAAAGATGTTGGAGGGGGGAAATGTTGCCCCCCTCCCTCCTTATCTCTCATTCATGTAGTTGCTGTCGGCACATTTATGTGATCAAATCTTGGGTGATAGGAATTTCTTGATACACCTACATTTATTGGATAAGTCTGGATATATTGTATGTTTTTCTTGTTGTCAACCACTCCCAACAGGAAAACAGGATTAGAAATCAAGTCAAAGACCTTTTAAATCACAAATTATCATGCATCAAGGACTTTCAAGGTCCACAAGGAAAACAGGAAAACAAAGTCACAAATGCGAGAATTCTTTTTTTGAAACACTGCCAGTAACCTCCTGTTAAGTCCCTGTTTAACATCCCACCTAGACTGACTCCCATACACAGCGTTTTAGCAATAAACATTGAGTTACCGTTTCTATTCTTTGCAAAAGGTATGCATACTTTTTACAATCCTTTCCAAAACATTACCCTGTAGATTTGTGTGACTTCGAGGAGGGGAGCTGTAACTGGCAGCAGCAGACCACCGATGACTTTGACTGGGTCAGACAGTCGGGCTCCACCCACAACCCCAACACTGGGCCGGACAGCGACCACACCACCAACACACTCACAGGCCATTACTACTACCTGTCCTCCTCTTCTGCTGACAGTGCGGGACAGACAGCTAAAATGTCCTCACCACTGTACCCTGCAAGTAAGACAGTCACCTGTGTGTGTGTGTGTGTGTGTGTGTGTGTGTGTGTGTGTGTGTGTGTGCACGAGTGTGCTACTTCCTTTGCAATCCACAAGCTAACATCAACATTATGCTGCCATAGTTTGGTTCTACTCTTGTTTTCCTACAATTACTGAACTACAACTAAATTGACAATAGGCTCTCAGCGGTATATCTCAAGATTTTATGTAGACAGTGCACTCCTCTACACACTGAGTCACTTCCAGACTGGAACAAACATTTAGTTGAATGTCTTGATAGAGAACGCACCTGATTTAAGACGTTTGAATACATTGTGATCGGACCCTAGGATTTCCTTTCTCTGCCCAATAAATGGGCCTTTTAGTATTCAATTTATAATGTATTCATTAATTATAATGATGATGATTATTTGCTCATACTTTTCTTCAGTGGTATTGGAGGGAATATTGCGATCTTTTACTGAAGTCAAAGTACTAATACCTTACTGTAAAAAGTACTCAATGCTACAAAAAATGTCTGTGGCTCTCGTATCATTAGATTATTATTACTCATGCATTAATGTCAAAGCAGCATTTTCAACTATTTTATATAAGGCTGCAACTAAAGATTATTTAACTATGGATCCATATGCTGATCATTTTCTCCTGTAACCATTGATTGGTTGGTACAACTTCAGGAAATACTGAGAAATATCTGTTGTGTGTTTTGTCTGTTTTAGACCAGGAAAAGCAGCAAATCCTCCCTTTTGAGCAGCTAGAACCATGAATGATGACAAAAAACAATCAATCGTTTATCAAAATTGTTTCAAAATGGTTTAACTAATTGCTTAATTAGCTAATAATTTCAGCTCCAGTTGCACGTACTGTTCACCTTGATGTTTTAGAAGCACTGCTCATGTTTTGTATGTAAACTTTGTAAAGTATCTTCAGCCGTCCAATAAATGTAGATGACAGAGTACAATATATCCACTGTAATTGCTGTATGTATTGGAATAGAAGTATAAAGCAACATCTAATGGAAACACTTGAGTAAAATACAAGTAGCTCTACATAAAAACACAAATATCTGGACATCTAAGCGGTCTGTGATCTGGTTTTCTTTCTTTTGGCCCTTCAGGCAAAGGAGCTTGTGTGCAGCTGTGGTACCACATGTATGGCAAAGGAATGGGGCTGCTCAACGTTTACCAGCAGAGTGAAGAAGGGAAGCAAGCTCTGATTTTCTCTCAGACAGGAGACCAGGGTCAGCTCTGGAAGTTCGCCCAGGCGTCTCTAATGCCCCGGGTTCAGCCTTACAGGGTGAGTCACACGGATCTGCCCGAGACAGTCAGGTAGTAATACACTTTGGGGAAAAGAGATATACATGAACAACAGTGGAAAGTATATAAGTACATTCACTCAAGTACTGTAACTGTACTTAAGTAAAATGTTGAGCCACATGTACTTTGCTTTCCATTTGGTGCCACTATTTACTTTAACTAAACTATATTTCAGAGGAAAGCTTGATACTTGATACTTTTTCCTGATAATAATCTGAATCATCTGATGATAAAGTAACATTTTGAATGCAGGACTTTTACTTGTAACGGAGTAGTATTGGTATAATTTTTTAAAGTAAAGGATCTGTGTACATGGAGGTAAATCAGAATATCATTCTTCTTCCATGTTGTTTAAGCACAACATTTAATCGAAACCTGTAAAGTGTAAATGTCTTTTAAAGGGTGAGATCACCCAAAGTACAAATGTATTACTACATCTCACTAAATCAGAATATTCCACAGATGGTAGATAGTTTTCTTTGGGGGTGTTTCTTGAGTAAAATGAGTACTAAGTATATTGATACCTCTAAACCTCTGGACATAAAACTAGAATATGGTCTGACCTTTTTAAACTTGTATATATTGATATTTAAAGTAAGCAGTTTACATGGTTACATGCTTTGTGTTTCAGATCGTGGTGGAAGGTGTGAAGGCTGGCCCCACCCAGGAGGGAGACATGGCTTTTGATGATGTACAGCTGACGGACACTCAATGTTCTTCTCCTGGACATTGTGACTTTGAGAGCAACTCGTGTAGCTGGAGCAACCTGGGAGGAGGAGTCGACCAGGGGGACTGGCTCCGCGGTAGAGGAGCCTCCCCAAACCCCAACACCGGGCCCAGTGTTGACCACACCACCAACTCGACACACGGTAACAATGCGTACACGTTAATCTGCGATTCCACGTTTGAACCGAGTGGATGCGAGTGTGATTTAATACGATTTACGGAAACTTACAGAAACTTCATGCCACTGATTGTACATCACTTCTGTTCATATAGCACTTAAAATGCATGCAGTAAAGAAACTTCACATGCAGACCACAGACACAAACCAGAGACACAGACATAACTAATCTAAGTATATTATCATAAGCCTTGGAAAGCAGACAAGTTTTCAGTTTGTTTTTAAAAGTAGACACAGTTGAGATGGATGTGAGAGCAACAAAAAACACCCTCCCCAGATCTGTATCGTATGACAGGTGCAGTTAAAACCATCAGCACCAGGTCTGACTGGATTTATAGTCAGTAGATAGTAGCTTTATTGCAGCATACCAGCTGTACATATATTTAGTTTGAAGTGATGTTGACCATACCATGTTATGAAATGAATATAAGAGTTCTTTCTCTCGATATGTTTGAGTGATCGTGGCACGTTTCCACCAGGTTTCTATCTATATGTGGACAGCTCAGTGGGCGAGTGGGGAGACATGTCCTTCCTGATCAGTGAAGTGTTCCAGCCATCCACCAGAGGTCACTGTCTGACATTCTGGTACCACATGTATGGCAACCACGTTGGGACTCTCAGAGTTCACATAAATGACAGGTAACTTTAGCCGTTAATGAGTTGTAACATGAAACGTGATCTGTACACGGATAATTTAAACTTGAGCTGTCCTGTCTCGTAGAAAAACGCACACTGGTGACAACGAAGAAGGGATTCTGAAGTGGATTGAGACGGGAAACAAGGGAGACGAGTGGCTGGAGGCCAGTGTGACTGTTAAACATAAAGAAGCATTCTGGGTAATAATAAGCTTCTGATTATTTCATCAGAATGAATGTAGATAGTGTTACAACTCAGGGTTTTTGTTTCAGTTCGTCCTCTTGGTATTTGCCAGTGGTGAAAACGAATTAATTACATTCACACAAGTACTGTACTTTAATTGTGGTACTTGCACTTTACTTTAGTATTTCCATGTTATGCTACTCTACACTACTACTCTTTACATTTCAGAGGGAAGTATTGTACTTTTTTCTCAACGACACTTTTCAAATGAGGATTTTACATAAAATACACCGATGTGTTTTTGAAATACAACTCCTAGTTAAAGATTAAACCAGTGGTTCCCAACATTTTGGGCTTGTGGCATTTACAAAAAAGCAGTTGGAGCTTCTTATCAAAGATATCTATGAGTTATGAGTTGCACTCTAAACTTCTCACTGGGTTTTATTTGAATAATTGTTTGAGGCTGAAAGAGCTGAAATTATTCCACATCTAATCTGGTGACTCTTTGAAGAGGCCCGACCCCTAGTTTAAGAACCACTGGACTGAACAAGCCTACTGAATATTAAGTAATCAAACTAACAAAAAAAACAAAAAACTTTAACATCCTGGATCTTTCTGATTAAATTCAACTTAAATATACAGCAACATGTAGTCAATTTCATGGTGATAACTTTTATTATCACACATTAAACAATAACAGCAGAATTTTACTAATGTGTATTCTGAGTTTCCTGATTGCTGTTTTCAATTTGAACTCTATTTTTTGTTGCAGTTTGTGTTTGTGTATCAGCGGGGTATCAATGCAGGTGGGGATGTTGCTCTTGATGATATCACTATCCTCCCTGGCAGCTGCTACTCAAAGCCCCCCATTGACCCGCCTGAGGATAATAATGGTAACTTAAGACCCTCTTCAGCACTTGTAGAAAGTATTTTGCACTGATATGGGTTGAACTAGACACTTTATCACAACATTTTCCCAATTTAACAGCATTATCTAAACAGTATTTTGTCTGCATTGTGTATAAGCTTGGTGTTATTTCATTTTTTATTACTGTCAACAAAGCCCATCAAAAGGCCAAAACCATCAAAGCGTTTGTCCGTCTCTCAGTGCTTTCAGACTTCCCTGCCCGTCTCTGACACTCTGGCACTTAGCCACATGCGCATTCTTTCCTACTGAAAAACCTGAATCTTTAAAATGGGTCACAAATGAAAAGTTGTATTATAAAAAGGTTCAGAAATGTCCTGATCACTGTAGTTTTTAGCAAACATTAAGGAAAGAGTAGTAAATATTTATTAGGGACTATTTTCAGCCGCGGATTAGTTATTTATGACAGCAGGACAGTGTATGTCGGATTGACTCACGAAGCGCAACAATGCAGCTCATTTATGTGCTTTTAAATGTTTTGGACCACAATGGAGCACATAATGATAAGCTTTATCAGGCTTTGACGACACAGTCAATTGATATGGGGATAAATTAATTGTTAATTTTGGTATTTTCATGTTGACAATAAGAAAAATATAGAATATCACCAGCCTTATTTAAAAAATGTTGGTATAGGAACAACCAAATCAAATAATTCCGTATCCAAATGCTCAAAAATGATGGCCATTTAAGCCTTAGTGCAAGTGTAAAGAGTTAGGCTGATGTCAACTGTTTCTGTGTCTGCAGTCATGTTGTCTGCAGGTCTGGCTGTTGGTCTGACTCTGCTGGCTGGAATCATCATCTCCATCTTCCTCTTTATGCTGAACAGGACGTGTAGTACAATGTACACTATCGTTCATAAATACATACATAATTTACATAATGTATACAAAAACACATAAGAATCCTGGTTTATGGTATCGGCTGACATTTCTCCTTGTGTGTCTCAGAAATCAGCCGACAATTATGAATGACGACAAAATTGAAGAGAACAATGCGCTTGACCTCTTTGACCGCAAGATAAATGTAAGTTAGCAGGATTTTCTTGTCCAGCATTCACAGAGCACGGATGATTTAAAGAAACATTGTTTTTTCCTCCCAGGGCACCCAACATGGAACTGAATCAGAGTTTTCCTTCTTCAACAGTCTGTATAATCCATCTCCACATGTGACTGACGCCGCCACAGTAGCTTCATCTGATGCTTAGTCCAGATTAACTTCAATGAAACAAATAACCCATTTACCAATTTGTAAATTCTACCTGTGTTCTTGGAGATATTTGATTCCCATTCTGTTATTGAGAATATTAAATATTGATGTTAGTGGGGCATTTTGCTGAGAAAATAATAGATCAAAGGATGTAATGTCGGTTATATGAGAAAGTATCAGTGACTCTTTAGTTTTAATCATGACAAGTGGATTAAGAAATACATGAGCAGATTTATTGCTTACCTACAAACCCCTTGACTGAGGATTAGCGAACACTGAACATTTTAACAACGTTTTTTAGAAAAAAGATTGAAACATGTTGCAGCTTGTTTTATGTTGTTGTTGAGTATGCCTAAACTATTTTGCAAAAAGCTTTTAGTCATGTTGTTTTAAGAAACTGTACGTTGTAAAGACGGCTGTCTTTCTGTTCTGCTTTCTGATTTGAAACAGTTTATTAATAAATGTTTGTTCATGAGGTTTTTTATTCACATCTTTATTGAAATTGCAACAATCGAAATGTACAGCTAAAGCTTCATATCCTTAATCATTTTTCCATCGTTGAATTATTCTTTTAAATTTTTAATTTCCAGGGCCGGTATGTATACAACTTCTAAAACCTTAAGAACATCATTTTAATTGTTCCTCAAAAGTGGAGGCCCAAAAATATGTTTTCATGTTAGTCAAACACATGTTTCATCAAACACGTAATAGTTTTTTTTCTCCACAGAAATATAGAACACACAGGTTGGCTTGAACAAATTACACATTAAAGGTTTACTGGAAAGTTATACATATTTAAAATTTCCTTTGACTAACTGTATACAAAACAAACTAGTTTAAACCAGCTCCATCTCGACAAACTGTGACAGTAAACTGCTCCTTGTGCATTTATGCATCAATATTACAAATCTAATCATGTCATGTATAATAAGATATCACTTACTGGGGGCCTTTTTCTACAGAATGAGTACTTTTTATTCTTAAAGTACATGTTGCTGTATTTTGGGATTGGTCTACCTGTTTTATGAGCCGGTAAGGTTCATAAAACAGGTAAATATTAAAGTGTCTAAAGTGCGGATATATTTTCAGTATGAGCCGGCCGGTAAGAAAAAAAAGACAGTTCTGCCTAAAGGGAGTGGGAGTGGACGAAACCAAGTGTAGATATAGGAGGGGGGCCTTGAGATGCTCCACTATTGTTTTAGACACAATAAACAGTCCGTCGAACTATTTAGTTTGTACCTAAACTACAAAGCCAATAACGTAAAACATAAAAACAAACGTTTAATCCCACACTATGGAGAGATGCCTCCCCACCCTGGCGAGTTTAGTTGAGCTATTCTCCTATGTGCGACCATAGACGGTAACACGTTTCATGCCCGCATAAACTGTAGGTGTAACCGGCAAAAAAGCCATAAACCAACCTCCACGATGCCGAGGAGGGATTGTAATTATCTGTAAACTCATATATCATATTCATGGACTACTTTATTACCTTTGTACAAGCCCTGTCAAGTATTACATGCATTATGAAGAAACAAGGTTGAATATCCTGTGTAAACAATTTGATTTGGCTGCAAAATGTATAGACTGAAAGACGTCCTGTTTCTAAAGCATTTAAAAGCCAATTGTCCTTTGTATAATCCATAGACAAGTAAAAAGTGTTTTTGTCAGTGAACTCTTGAAGAGGTGCAGCGCCACTAGCGGAGCCTATAAGGCGCCCTACGCGTCGGCCGTGACGACGTTATTTTCTCTACGCTTGAGAGAGAGAGACAGGGAAGACTACACGGAAAGAACAATGGGCGTAGATGTCGAAACCATTAGACCAGGACACGGTAACAGATTGATTTTTCCCCCCAAATCACTCGATAACTAAAGTAAATGTCCGTTTTACAATATAGCCGATTTCTAACCCACGGTTTTTTCTCATTTCAGGAGGGACTAACCCGCAGAGGGGACAGACGGTTTCCGTGCACTACGTTGGTAATACATAGCTAACGTTATTTAAATACTGACTGGTTGTTTAGTTCACCCATATTTAATTTACTATAGCAAATGTTATCCACTCAAACACACACGGGTGGTCGTTAGATAAGAGAATCGATGCTCCTCATGTCTGTACGGTCATATTAGCTTAGCTTAGCTTAGTTTAGCTTAGCACAAGTACTAGCCTGGCTCCGTACCAAGTTACCAACATGTGCTAACCAGCACCCAACATGCTCGCCATTTTATACGTTATACCTCGTTTGTTAGATCCGTACAAACACGGAAGTGCAGAACAATTATTTCTCCAGCTTAACGTTAGCCGCCCTGCATTGTTTCCTGTGTGTGTGCTAAGCTAACTGTAAGTTACTTCATTTTGGGTGCATAGACGTTAAAGGTGGTATAAATCTCCCCTTTATTTCTTTAGCTAACGTGAAATAAAGTGCATATTTGTCCTCCTGCATGTAGTGTTGTTTATCAGTCTAGATTGTTTTCGTGTAGGTTGTCTCGTTTTGGATATATATAGATATGTCTATATATATATATATATATATATGTCTGTCTGTCTGTCTTCTGGCTATAATGGCACTCAAAGCCCCACAATAATACATTTGCAGAACTCAATATAGCAATAATTCTTTCCAGAAATCATGACCTGGGTTACTCAAGATAATCCACAGACAACTAACTGCTCGCAACAAGCTCTATATGTTTTTAAAATATGTTTTCCCCCTTGGTTGTTGAACAGGCACGCTGACAAATGGAAAGAAGTTTGACTCCTCCAGGGACCGAGGAGATCCCTTCAAATTCAAAATTGGAAATGGTGAAGTCATTCGTGCTTGGGATGAGGGTGTAGCTCAGGTAAGGAGATTAACCTTTAATGATTTTATACATCTAGATAGAAAGATAGTTAGTTACTTTATTAATCCCGCTACAGCAGCATTTATGGTACAGGTAAAGCAATAAGAACAGATGAGCTTCCACATCTTGGGGATTACTATTGAACCTGTGAATTAGAGGTGTGGCAATTTGGTAAAAAATGTAAAAAAAAATAATTCCAAAGCTGGGCTAGTTACATTTTTAATAATTCTCCCTGCAAAACGTGCTAGGACCACAACATTATTGAAGTGCCATAACTATTTCAGCCATTAATCAAGGCAGTTGAGCAGAATAACTAAATGCAAGCACTGCCTCCTTATCTCCTCAATTTGTGTCTGCGTTCCTGTCTTCGCTTTGATATCGGCAGACAACCGACTAGCTTTGGCTACCCTGAAGGTAGAAACGGACTCATCAAAGTAAAATGTGCACACTGGTTGGTCGACTCCCTTCACCTCTTGTTACCAGAAATAATGTATCATTAACGGTCACAAACCGAGCATTAAGATCAGCGTGCAGAGTCTTCTTCGAGACCGTTAGATTTGCTAAGAGAAAGCCACAGATAGCTTCACCTGGAGTCCACACAGTTATATAAACTGATGTAAACATGTTGCAAAAACAGCTCTCGTAAAGCGTTTTCCAACGACGTAAATATTGCCGACATCACAACAGAAACGATCAAGAAAAAATACAAACGATAGACATTTTAATATAATTTGGCGATGTGTATTGCCAAGCCCTAGCGTCAACCAGGCAAGGGAGGGTCTAACAAATTACGCTTTTGATTTGCATTGTGGGAAAGGTAGTATCCAGTGTTTTTGTAGCTTGGCCCTTATTGGGGACTAAAAGTTAGAGTATCTCCTCTTCTGGTATATTGATATTGGGTACTTGCTGTAAATGTATTACTAAATCACTGGAATACCCCTTTAACAGAGATGCCAAAAAGAGGGTCAGCCATTCAATATCGAACCATATTACTACCTTTTTTATGTAGCTTGCTCTTCACCTCCACAGATGACCGTTGGCCAGTTGGCCAGGTTGACCTGCTCGCCGGACTATGCGTATGGTGCTCAAGGATTCCATCCCGTCATTCCAGAAAACGCCACTCTCATCTTTGAAGTGGAGCTGCTGGGTTTTTCTTAAAAGTTGAAGGTTGCTCTTCACAATTTCTCATGCCATCATCATCTCTGACACAAATAGCCATTTATTTAAAGGTGCCGTCGGTAGCATTTATAAACATGAATAAATTGTTGTAGAAAGAATTCTCATACCGTGGGATGATTGAGACAAATTTGATACATGCCCGGCGCTAATGTTAGTGCTGAGATGACACCGGGATCAAAAAAACGTAAGGGAACAGTACAACTTGTTTCGTCCAGGATTCATGTGGCCTCCATTTCTACATTAGTCTGATGAATCATGGAATTATTAGACATCCAACAGAATGACCACCGAATCTGAACATTTAACACTAAATTTGCACAGAATGAATCTAATTTGTTCATACCTTTTTATTCCAATGTCCCAAAAATAGTGCGGAAATGATTATGAAACACCTTTTTAATGAAGTCTATTTGTTCTTTCTTGCATTATGTATTTCTCTAACAGATGCATTGAGTTGATGACCTGGGACTTTGACACAATGTAAAGAATGTCTTACAGACAATAACGGCTTATGATTTCATTTTCATCCCTCCATTTATTGCCTTTCATCCTATCAGATTCTGAATCCTGACTCTTCAACTTTATTCTTGTCTTTTTGTCATAACAAGTTAAAGGCCTCAAGTGTCCTTGTGTTATGTCATGCTTGACAATTTCTTTGGTAATGTTTTACTTCTTTATTGTGTCATCCATTGATAAAGGGTATTTTCCGTGGGTTCTGCATTCTTGCATTAAAATCATCAAGTATACAATATTAATGTGGCATTCATTGACATTCACATGATTTACACTTTGAACAAGTAGTTCTGATAAACACTCGTGTAGTTTTACTCTGAGAACAAATCGCTCCAGACACAAGAATTCCAGGTGGTGCTACAGATTTCTATGCCATGAGTTTAGGTTCAGATGCATCAACGTGTTTTTGCTGTCCTGTGATTCCCCACGTAAGGCTTTAGGAATGTTTTCCCATAAACAATATTGTTGTCAAACTAGATTCTGCTCTGTGTTCAGGTGGATTGTAGCAGTTTGATAATAAAACACATTAGCTAGCAGGTAAACTATCTTAGCTATCCCTCCCTCTCGTGAGACAGTTAAAGTTCTTCCCAGTGGTGGAAGAAGTTTTTTACTTTAGTAAAAGTACCAATACCACAATGTAAAAATACTCCATTACAAGCAAAAGTACTGCATCCAAAATGCTACTTACCGAAATGCACATTAGTATTGCCATGAAAATGTACTTAAAAGTGAAACTACTTGATGCAGACAAATTAACAGAACTTAATACATTTCCACAAAGTGTGTTTAAAAACTACAAGTTATTCTTAAGTAAGTTTAGTGTTTGTAGATATAAGTGTTAACTCTGGGCAGTCATATTTACAGGCATTTTAGTTTGGCTGTTCTGCCTACTGATTCACAAAAAATATTAAAATACTAAGCCAATGTTGTCATACCATACTCTGTATTAACTCTTGTTAACTAATGTTCTAAATTAGTTTCCAAATTAGCCCTCCTGTTGCTCTTGATATTCCGTGTATCTCTGCTGTCAACACATTTTATTATTTTTATTAAGTACAGAGATTAGCTCCTCAACACATTTGTGTTTGAACACAAAGCCTTCACGTGTGTTCTGGGTTCATCGGTTTGTTTTGATTGTGGTGGAAACCTTTGAATTACACGAGGGACGGAGCGTCTGCTGCCTTCACTTGCGCTTTGTAATCTTCAAGCTTCACAATCAATCGATTCATTAAGAAAACTACAGCAGATTATTCCATAATGAAAATAATTAGTGGTTGCAGTCTTATACAACAATGTTTTTTTAAAATTGCTCCACCTCAATTATAACAGTAAAATCCACATTTTTGAATGCATCAGTAATCATCTAATGAAATACAATGTAACAGTAACAGAGGCCATTTCTCTGCATAAAGAGTACTTTTAATACTGTAAGTGCATTTTCCTAACCAAACTTTTCATTGCCAATGCAGCGCTTTTACTTTAAATGGAGTATTTCTTGCGCTATCAGTTCTCCGAATAGTTCCTCCAACACTACTTTGGGCTCATATTGGTGACAATTCCGACGGCATTTGAAGGCAGCATTTGGTCAGCGCTCATCACAGAAGAGAGCTCCACACCTGAAGAAGCGTTACACGGACGTACGGACGGACAGTCTGAAAGTTAAACATGGACATCAACATGATGAGAAACTATACATTTGGCTACATTAATAGTTAAGTTTGCCTCGTCTTCGTCCCTTTGTTTTTCCTTAATTAGACGAGTGCTCGTTAAGCTCATTGCGCTTTAATCATTCTTTGCGCTTTGGCGATGCGTTGCGAGCCGAGAGGAAGGATGGCGATGACCCTGACAAAGACAGCTCATCTCATCACTGCACTGGTTTTCGTTTTCCAGTTACAAATAAGCTTCACGAAGCTTAAATCCGTTTATGGTAAGTTATAAAATACGTGTCTCTTGAATATGCCAATAATTGTTTTTTAGGCTAACCTAACTTTAGGAACAGGTCAGTTTGCGCAATACAGTAAAAACTGTAACGCTTGTAGAAGTAAGTATTATTTGGACATTAAGCTTTTGTTTTATCACCTACAGTTATGGAATATGTGTGTGTTGTTAAAGCTAACATAACTAACAATACATTTACCTACTTACTGTGTGTTTCAGTGTAACGTTTGTTTGTTATTCCATGTTATGCATAGTTATCTCTTATTGGTTTTAAACATGCTTTGTTCAATATATATATGTATATATAATCTATATCTGGGGATTGAATATGCCAATTATAGAAAGCATGTGCAGATGTTTTGATATTTTCTTAAATAAGGTATCCCTTGTATTTTGTGCTTGGCTGAATGAAACATCTTAAACAGTATGATAAATCGGACTTGTGTTGATCTACAGACTGGGTATTTTAGCAAATTTTAAATGGCAGTAGCAGCCCGTCGCTATACGACAGTTGCTGCTTCTATTGCCAATAAAACGGTTCCTGATACTTGCACAGAAAGCATCAATACGCTGCCCACCATGTGACAGAAATATAGACACAGCAGTCACAGCTGTTTGGCCTCACATGCCTGGTCCTGGACCTGCTGGTGTGAAGAATGTGAAGCATGCTTTCACCCTCTGCCGTGAAACGAAAAATTCGGACGCACAGTAGTCACTGGAAAGGGGTCGAATGACGGGATGAGCTGGCATGCTTGCCACATGGCACACGCTGGGGAATTGTTTATGTCCTGTTGCATGTGAGAAGAAGATGTTTGTTAACTGGTGTTTGAGACGTTCAAAGATGCATTCTCCACATCTAACATTCCCGTCACATACAATGTTCATTGTTTCTCACTAGGTTGGTTACAATATTCCACACTGACAGTATCTTAGCCTTAATGTTGTGTGCCAGTTTATTGAAGCAATATGATTTTTATGTGAAATATTCAAACCCAAGGCTATGTTTTTTTAGTGGAAATCCTAATGGACGTATTCTTTATGCCTTTTGCATTATTGTATACAAACTCCCTCAAAATTTAGCCTGGCGTATTTGGTATCCTTGGAAACTTTAAAATATGGAATTGGCCCATTTAAAAATATAAGTTCAGTGGGTTTGAATTAGAGCTGCAATTAATCAGCAACTATTTTGACAACCAATGTATCGTTTAAGTTCTTTATTTTTTGCAAGCCTTATTGAGAATCATTTGATGGCTCCAAGTCCTCGAATGTGAGGATTCGCTGCTTTTCTTGGTCTTACAAGCTCGCATTCTGCTGCAGAAAACGGGATATTACATTAGGGGTCCAGTTATGGCTGCATGCTCAACGATCTCTCGTGGGCTGTTAATCGCTTCCCGGCCACTAGGGGCCGCTAGTGGTCACACAGCTAACGCAAATTACGTTGTGTTTTGCTAACATCTAACGTAACGGATGTTGTGTTTGGCTAACATCTAACGTAACGGATGTTGTGTTTGGCTAACATCTAACGTAATGAACGTTGTGTTTGGATAACATCTAACGTAACGGATGTTGTGTTTTGCTAACATCTAACGTAACGGATGTTGTGTTTGGCTAACATCTAACGTAACGGATGTTGTGTTTGGCTAACATCTAACGTAATGGACGTTGTGTTTGGATAACAGCTAACGTAATGAACGTTGTGTTTGGATAACAGCTAACGTAATGGACGTTAACATAAGTGTTAATAAAGGGGGTTCAGCCTATTGTGGGTTGTATTCATTCAATCACACGATACACCTGTGGTCTTTCAGACACACCTGGTGGAGATCTTTCTAGTTGATTGTGAGAACCATCTTAAATTGCAACACTAGTTTGAATGTTTTGTTTCATAGTTATGGGTCATGTAGCTGATAAAATGCCAGAAAACTGAAAAAAAAAAATCGAGATTACCTAGAGCCCGAGGTAATGGCATTCCTTCAAATGGCATGTTTTGTTTTTGTTAACGATATTACAATTACTATTTAAAAGTTTTCATTATATGAGAAGCTGGAAGAAGCAAATGTTTTGTCATTGTTAATTGATAAGTTACTTGAATGATCATTTGATTATAAAAATGTCTGTTTTTTTATATTTGGAAAGTTTTAAATTGTGAGGAAATGCTTAACGTTAATTGCCAGTTTTGGGTTTTTGAGTTGTCCTAAGTTCTTTTTGTTTTCTTTTAATGATTTCTTCTCTGAATATGACCATATAATTACATTTTAACAATTTATTTTTGATCTTAGTGTTGCTTCATTATGCCCACTATGCCTGAACTTGAGAAGAGTTTTTTCTTTCCTTATTTGTTTTTATGTTAAATTAATCGTATTTACAGTCACAAAATGATAAGTTGCGACATGACAAAATATTCTTGTTCTTGATAGTTACTTTTTTTCTTAAGTATATTTGTATAAAGAGTTCTCTAAAATGTGGATATTTTGCAGTTCACAATTCAGGCATTTTATTTGTATCGTTAGTGATATAATTATGTATTGAGTACTCCAAAAAACAAAACAGTAAGCTGTGTTCAGAACAAAAATAATGACCTCCCTCTTGTTGATTCCTCAGGAGTCTACCGTACTGACACACAGGGGATGTCTCCTCCAGAGGTGCGGCCATATGTCGTCGCAGGGAACAACCAGCCCAGGGAGAGCAGTCCCAGGTCTGGGGCCCCTGGCTGGGCTGCAGATAAGAGGGGCCACTACAGAGACCAGCACAAACCAGAGGAGTCAGATCCAGACCTGCTGTTGGACGAGGGGCACAACAATTCCACACAGATTGTGGTAAAGTTCTTTACAGCCAAGAGAGGTTTTGCAAATTAAGGAAAATTGACTGTTGTGTTTGCTCGATGACCTGTTTCACTTTTCATACCTGTCATAAATCTGTCCATCTCACACTTCTGAATCTGAAAAATGCTATGCTGAAACTTGATACCCCCACCAACATAAACATGTCACATGTGTTGTCCCTAATACTGATTTCAATCCCTACATTTTTGCACAGGACATGGATCACGCTTACTATACATCTAAAATCTACGGTTCTGGAGACGCAGCCAGTAGAGAGCTGTGGGTGAACATCGACGAGATCGAAGAGGATGAGTGGAAGGCGTGTGGCTTTCTGTCCAACACCTACAGACAAGCTGAGGTATGAAGTCAGTCTGTGCGAATAAATGGGACAATCGGATTTTAAGTATAAATATCTCATGTAAAAGAAGTCCGGTGGGCAATCCATCTTTAATTAATCAATTTACTTTCACTTTCCAGAATGAAAAAGTGAAAATTTTTCAATTGTATTAATGAACTGTTGATCAGTGCATTACAGTTCTGTTTCTGAATGTGTTGAATTGAGAACACTGTACACGCAGTGTCAGCTGCAGTACACAGTACAGCTACACACACACACACACACACACACACATTGTGTTGTTCTTCAGCATGAGTGAAAAAGACATAAGGCCTGCAAAGTGGAATGTACTGCAATTCCTTTTTTAGTTGGATTTTCTTTTGTCCAGTTCCTGGAGCACTTTTATTTTGAGATTTGTTTGAGTGAGAAAGGGTGCTCTTGGTGCAGTTTTGAAGAAAATGTAGGTTGTTTAATGGTTCATATTTCATTATGAACATACAATTGGATTTCAATTTTCCACAAAAGAAAAGCTACAAAAATGTTTTAGGATGCCAATTATAGTAATAAATAAATAAAATGGAAATCGGCAGGTCATACTTTAACAAATTTGGAATTACCCAAGAAAATTGCAAATGGTGCATCTCTAGCACTTTTTCTTTCTTCTTTTCCAGAGAGTGAATCTTTCCTTTGACTTCCCTTTCTATGGACACATACTAAAAGAAATCACAGTGGCAACTGGAGGTGAGTCTTTAACTACACGTCTTTTCTTTAGAAGTTGTTATGAGGCTTAGTGGGTATTTAAAGTAGTTCTGGATGTCATCTCTTCTCCTGAGTTACAAGTAGAGCTGCATTATATGAATTGGGAATTTTTATTATATATTTCTTCACTTTTTCCCTTCATAGCACAGTGCATACTTGGCATACAATTAACCAAAAGCAAAAGCAATTTAAAAAGCAATTTAAAAATATTTGATTGCTGCTTTAAGAGACTATAACCTGCTTCACAGGTTTCTTTTGATGTTGTGTGTAAAGTGTTCTGGTATATGCTTTAGTGTTCTGTATGCTGTAGATCTCTTTCTATTCAACCTCTCCATCTCCAGCCTGAATAAAGTACTGAAGTTCAACAACAGAAATTTAAGATCTAGATTAATCTGCGAAAATGCAACAGAAAACAAGTGGAGTTACTGAGTGAAGAAGTTTGTTTTGGGGGGTTCTGTTTGTTGGCCCTTTGTCTCATATCTCGTCCATGATTAAGATGATTATTGTGAATATCTCCCTGCATTGCATATAAATGAATGCTAGTAACCCCGGCATGTTTTACAGGTTTCATTTACACTGGAGTTATACTTCACCGTATGCTCACAGCCACTCAGTACATTGCCCCTTTAATGGTGAATCTGGACCCAAGTCTGTCCAAAAACTCTTCTGTGTTTTACTTTGACAACGGTAAGAGAGACCCTTTTACTCAACTGTCCTCAATTGTGACTGCTTGTTTGTGTGTCTGCTGTAGAATATTTACACTACATGCCTGTGATGGTTATGTTTATGTATATCTACCACGTAGGCACTGCACTGGTGGTTCAGTGGAACCGGATTCACCTCCAGGACAACACCAGTCTCGGTACTTTCACCTTCCAGGCCGTTCTGCACAGCGATGGCCGTATCGTCTTTGCATACAAAGAGGTAACGTTTCATTTCCTCCTTTAGTTCTTCTGTTAATGTGAAATTTGTTTAATTATACTGCTTTTTTCTTTATAGATTCCTTTAGACCTCAACGACATCAGCACAGAGAATCATCCTGTTAAAGTGGGCTTGTCGGATGCTTTTGTGGTTCTTCATGAGATACAGCAGATCCCCAGTGAGTGACACATTTGGTGTATAAAAAAATGCATTTTCTTACTTTATTTTTACTAACCAAAACAAAACACTAGATCTCATTAGTAGTTAACATTATATCTTTCCTGACATGCTCCAGATGTTCGGAGGAGAACTATTTATGAGTATCACAAAGTCGACATCCTCAAGTCCAAAATCGCAAATTCTACAGCTGTGGAGATGCTACCTCTCCCAAGTACGTTTCATGCTAGCGCTACGTTGCAGCATGGCCTGTAAAAATGCATTCAGGTTTAATTCACAGAGGCCAAAGCCGTCTCTTCCGTCTCACTCTTCACCATTTTCTTTATTCTCAGCATGTCTCCAGTTCTCCAGCTGTGGTCCATGTGTCACTTCTCAGATTGGCTTTAACTGCAGCTGGTGCAGTCGGCTACAAAGGTAAACTGGAAAGCACTCGGAGCACCGAACCGACTGCACATTCCAACTGATTGTATTTAAATGAACAAAAACAACAGGGATGTTTAATCTTCATCTGCATCCAGGGTTGCATTAAAATACACAGATGTTGGCTGATGGCAAACATTATATAAAAATGACCTTTTAGCAAAATTCCAAGTGAGTCAGACTCATGACCACTGCATTTTAATTAATGTTGTAGTGCTTCCTATAAGTGACTTTTTGTTGTTGTCAGATATACTCAGTGTTGTGTGCTTATATCATCTAAATTTGGTTGCAATTACATAATTTGCAGTTATACAGACAAGAATTGTTCAACCAATGAGAGGAAAATAAAATCTTTCAATGTTCTTGTCTTATTGGTTCTAAATTTTATGCTACAAAAAGTTTGAAAGATGCCTGCATGATCTGATTAACTTACAAGCCTCACTTTAGATTCGCTGAATGCATTTTTGCACAGGATGAGGACTCTGGGTTCTGTCACTCATCACCTACATTGCAATTTTCCAGTGTGGACAGAGGAGAAACAATCACAGCAACCATAAGCTTTTCAATTTGGGACGAGGATTGTATCAATATAGAAAAAAAACATTAACTTTCTTTTGTTAAGAATAAACTAATTTACAAAAGCTTTATTTCCCTTGTTGCTTTTCTACACGCTGCCCTATTGCAGTGGAGTAAACGGTGTAAGAACTATATTCTACATGATTCCTACCAAAGCCTTCATGCAGAACGTAATATTTAAACTACCTGATAACTACAAAAAGAAATCAACTGGTTGCAAAAGTCTTTAATAACATTTGGTTGTGAAAAAGCTTCGGTTCAGACTCAAACACTTTGCCAATACTGTATCTTGAATGTTTGTGAAGGTAAACCTATGATGACGGCTCAAGCTCACACTAATGGTATTTACTGTCTTTTCTTAGATGCTCCAGTGGCTTTGATCGTAACCGGCAAGATTGGGTCGATTCCGGCTGCCCGGAGGAGGTTCTCATCATTTTGGGATTTGAGTAAACTACAGAAAGTTAAACTCTGTTAGAAAACAACAGTTTACTGATGTTTGTTTTTCCAGAAAAGAGATCTCCGGTGTCTCGGAACAACTGATGTTACAAACGCCGAATCTCGCCACCTCACACACACGACCACTTCTGTTGCAACGACCACAAAGCAGCAGCGGTCGTCCAGCATGACCTCCAGACCCCCCCGCAAGACCTCCTCCGTCACCAACCCCTCAACGCACAGCAGCACAGGCAGAAGAATAATGTCCACTCCGCAGCCTCCAACCAGCAAACCTGCAGAAGGTAAGCAAGTTGTCTGTAGTAAACAAAACATGCATGTTTTAGTAGTCTTAGCATTGATTCATTTGCGCAGATAGGACATTTTATTTACTAACTCGTTATCGGTGGATCCGGGTTCCGATTGCTGCGTGTTCTCCACCAGTCACACAGGGACTTACATCGCCGTTATACAGAGAGGCTTCATAGACATGACAGTTTGAGATTTACAAACCCTATTTCTCATGTTCAATTTCAGAGTTTTTAGAATTTTATAAGCTATTTATTTAGATATTAATCCAGATTTTAAAGTCCTCTGTAGGTCGCCCTCTGCAGCTAAAGACTTGTCCCACTACCTCTTCATAGAATCATCTCGTCTGGTAGCTTTATGTCACTTCATTTCAGTTTTTTTTTTTTTCATTTAGGACCGATTACTGCAAAGGACATGGCAGGTGTCATTACTATCTCATGAGTTAATACTTGTTGCATTGTATCCACGGCCGGTGTGTTTTGTAAAGTCTGACAGTGTGAGGGTCAAGTGGTCAGCTATTTCCCAGCCCTCTGTTAGCTCCTAGCTGAGTGTATACAGCGCCATGTTAAATACTACATAGTATCCTCAGTTGCTAAAGGATGACTCAATGTATGCCTGTCACTCTGGTTAAGTCCGAATAAAGGAGGGCTGTTATTTTTGGCTGCAGTGGATATTGTTTGTTAGAGTAGGATATTGTATTCAGATATTTTACTTCGGTAGATGGAAAAGTATTTGATTTTTATTAGAAATGTAAAGTATCTCTGAAGTCCCAAAGTTAATCTCAAAATTTTTCTAATGGATTTATTTGACGATCATAAAAATACAAATAATATTGCTTCACCTGATGAGTTATCACACACATTTACAAAACTGCCACAGATTAAATGACAAGGCTTATTTCCACTGTGATCCTCTAATTGTGTGGCAAAATGCCAAATCAAGACCAACAACCATCAAATCACACAAACATGCATAAAATGACTATTTGTGCAAGGTCCCTATTGTCAGAGACCATTTGATACTCTTTTTAAAATGTCTCAATGCTTGAATTAGTTAATTGCAAAACTGCAAACGACCCCACGCTGCTCAAATTTGTGTACACTTTAGTAAAGTACAAAAGTTATATTAAAAGGATCTTTAAAAACGACTGCAGTAACAACTCAAAAAGCTTCTCTATTACAGTAAAAATGGACATGGTCAATCTCTTAAATTATTTTCCCAGAGAATTTTTTTAAAATATGAGTGACGCATAACTTACTGTGTCTTATCATTCAAAATAGTATATCATGTCAATGTCTTTCTTTTCCTAGATGACTCAAAGATCTCTTTCCACATTAATGAAGCACGTAAGTCATTCCTACCGTGTCTGCTTATTAGTTCATAATGTCAGTATTAAGTCAGCGCTTTATCAAAACTTACATATTTGTGTTAAAGGCACAGTGTGTAGCATGATCTATTAACAGAAGTGGAATATAATAAGTGTTTTTGATAGTGTATAATCACCCCGGAAATAAGAATAGTAGTTTTCAGACCTCTATATCTCCATATGGAGCTGGCTGTTGTTTCTACAGTAGCTCCAAACACTGGCTCTTGTTTAGTGCATTCATCATTCCTGCTGCGGCTGTAGTTCTCCCACACACTTGGCACACGGGGGATGTTTCGGTTGGTTGCAACCTCCCCGCTAGATGCCAACAAATCCTTCACACCACATCTTTTGAAGTGGTAACCGCTGCATGCATGTGCTGTTTTTAAGCCCAATCTCAAGTGTTCCTTAGTTGTATCCGAGGGAGGGATTGACTGAGACTCTCATCGTCCCGTCTGTGCAGCGGGACACGAGGAGACCACGGGAGAGCGTGACGAGTGGCCGCTGAATGGTCTGCTAGCGGGCATCGTCATGGTGATGGTCGTCATGGGAGCGGCCGTCCTTATGTCCGTCTACATGTACAACCACCCGACGTCCAGCGCCAGCCTCTTCTTCATGGAGGTCAGTGACACGTTGTGTTCTTACTTTGAAAGGGAATGAGGGGAAGTACTCCATCACGGTCGACGTTTGTCAGTTATTGTTCTCCTGCGAGCAGCAAAGCCTAAAGATACAAAGCTGGTCTCACGGGAGATGACTGTACACATTAAGTTAGATACTCATCAATGACACCAAATGTCAAAATTTCCCCGTCGTAAAAAATGATTCCCAGACTTGGAATGAGATTTGCAGCTCATATTAATGGTTCCCGTTTTCAACTGTATTCTGCACATTTTATGTCCCAGTACTTCACATCAATGTGCACATTTTATTTTATTTTTTACCCTCTGGCATTTTGAAAGCCGGGGACTTTAATTGTATTATACATTAGTTTTGTTATGGTGTCTCTCCCAAATCAAAGCTGGAGAGTTTAGAGGCATCAAGTAATATGTATTCATCCGAAGCGATGCAATTACAGAGTGTATTTAGTGGAATAGAAACAGTTAAAAGAATGAAGTGCTCTGTTTTCTCATTATACCCAGTTTCGTGTTCATTTTCTGTCACTTTCCCCCTCTCAGCGGCGGCCAACTCGCTGGCCAATCATGAAGTTCAGGCGAGGCTCTGGTCGCCCTTCTTACACCGAGGTGGAGGCTCCCAGTCAGGACAGCATGGTGGTCATCGACCCCAAACAGTCTTTTGTCATGGCAGACAGAAGAGAGAGTGAACAGAAAGAAGGATTCATAGTTCCTGATCAGAGGGAGCGCTTCCTGGTCTCAGAGAGCTGACACTACGTATCCCTGGAGGTTTTGGGACAGAGCTGGATCTCTATGTGACGGAGACTTTATTTTCCATTCAGCTGCTGCTCAAGTTCATTTTAAGGATAGAATTTGAGTGTTCAGAGAGGAAAACACCAAACCTCTATGAGGAAAGTAACTACATAATATATTTACAGTTTGGCTTCATGTTTACATTAATGAGCCATTCCTAATGTAAAAAAGATAAAAAGTTTAAATGTATTTAGTCCAGGTCACTCATTTGTTTACTACAGCTTCACAAAGTGCAAGAGCTGAATGTTTGTTTTGAGACCGTTTTCTCACAAAGACGGTTGTTATTTTCCAGAGTTATGTGTTGTTCCCACACCTTCACAAAGAGGAATGTCGTATTCAGGTGTCATTTCCTCATCTCAAGAATACAGACTGAATTCCTCACTATTACACCCACCTTCATCGGAGGGCAAACAGGGTGCACAATGAATCGAATGTCTGGGACCTTTTTGAATTTTTACTTTATTTTCTGAACGAAGTAAAAGCAGATATAATATATTACTGATTGGTTTGCTGTACACTTCCACATCACAACCATGGGGAAAAAAATACAAATCTATTTGTTTTTAACATGATACTGTCATTTTCTTTCAGTAAAAACAGTGCAAATTGCATGTATTTATATGCACAACTAATGATGTTACAATGAAGTCTATAAAAAGTATAATAATTGTTTAGGACATATGAAATCATCTTTTATTTTAAAAACGTCTTAGAACTCAAGTGCTATAGATTTAACCTTTAAGAGTAGTTTTAACTACTGCACATTTTTACAAGATAACATGAGAATCAACTGTTTCCTGCACTCGGTGACAAACGGTACTAGTGTCCAGGATTATCTGAGGCATGTTTAAAGTTAAATTAAGGCAATGAATGGATCACTTAATACTGGCCTGTAGGCTGCACAGTTTTAGGGTCAAGGCACTTCCGTGTTGAAGATACTGCGAAGGTCCTGGCTCGATGATTTAGGTTTCCTCCTTGTCTTCTGAAAGAGAACCAAACACAATGTATTATAGTCAGATAGCACTTCCTATTGAATGGGGGAATAATTCATAAATGTCATCAAATTTTTTTGTATTTACTTGACAACCACTTCACAGTATTTGGTTTATCTCCAACGATTACCAATTCAACGCTATATATTAAATCTAAGCAGGTTATGAGTATGTTGTAAAAGTGACAAAAGCACATTCAAAACAGTTGCAAACTAAGAGAAAATAGCTGTTTCATCCTTTAAAAAGACATTCAGTGAAGTTTGATTTCCTGTTAGTGTATAAACAGTATAACACCCTATATACAGGTAGGATGTTGCTTCTTACCTTTCACTGGCGGTGCAGGTAATCGCCTCCTCTGCTGCCTTGATGACTCCACAGTTACAGGCTGCAAGAAGACGCATGTGAAACCTTTTTGTAATTATTATTCTTGCACACTGTTTGACATACGGTGGTGGTAGTTACTCTTATATGATTTATGTTAATGTATACAGGTACCATGATTGGAATGGTCTTGGTCTTAGTGAAGCGTGACTGTTGTGTGTCCACATTGAGGCCTGCACTCTTCAAAGCAGCAATTCTGGCCGAGATGTCGCAAATCTGGAGCAGAAACAAGCAACATGGACCATGTTTGATCAAGATCAGACCGATGATATACTGTAGTTGTCACTGTACTTGCAGCACCCCCTTATGGCCAATCTGTGTTTTTATGAATTCATCACACAGCTTCAGGCCTAACAAAAAGCAGCAGAGCACTTTAACATGCCAGTTTGAACTCACCTGCAGCTCAGACTGTTGAACCTTAGCAGCTGCTGATGCTACCTGCTCTTCCAGGAAGGACAGCTCCGTGTCCGACGTGGCGCTGCTGATGCCCCTAGCACACGCCTCCAGGTCACTCAGCTCCCCCTCCAGACTGTACACCTCCCCAGCTGCTACGTACACCTGCAGCATGTCCAGTTCAACACCGGATTAACTTCAAAACTTGGTAATTACAGCAAAGTCAACTTGGTAATTGAATCCTAAGAATGACTTTTGACAGACCCCGTAATGCATGTATTATTTTCCCTTTACAGGGTACTAGGGGTAAACTACAGACCAGTAGTGGTATAATACTGGTAGTACGCTCCAGTAATACTACTGTACACTGAAAGCAGCAACTAAAAACATCCAACAGTGACATAATGTGCAGTGAATTAAACAAATATGAATAAAAAGCTAAACTTACGTTCTCCTCCAGTCTCGAGAACTGTTGATCCAGTTTCTTAGGATCCGTGTCGGGGGGCAGCGAAGTGTTGGAGAGTCGGGGGCCGTCTCCTCCCTCCACCCCCTGCAGCAGCAGCTCCTCAGTGGCGTTCAGCACCTTCAGGACCTCAGTGGTGATGCTGCGCAGAGACACCGCCGAGTACCTCTACAACACACAGACAGACAGGCTGACGGAAAGCTTTGGAACACCCAAGACTTGTGTTTATGATTTTAAAAAAGTACATTTAATTGGAACTGATTTATGTATAAGGTTTGTGATGTGGATGTTGTGGATGTCTTGGTGTCTGGCAATGATGCTGCAGTTCTGTTATTTGTTATAGCATCATCTAATAAACTACAGTGTGAGAATAAAAGCATACTGAAATTAAATCTATGGAATGAGATGCATGCATGAAAAACGCAATAAGCAATGAGAGAAAATGTGAGTCAAAAAGTGCAAATAAGGAACATTTGCTTCCTAGATCTGCAACAATCACCACTAGCTGCATCCCTCAAGCAAAACAAGTTCTCACCTGCCCCAACAGAGTGGATATAAACTGTATTGTTTTGTAAAGCTCCATGTCTCTACCCTACAGCAGAGAGAAGCACAGAAGAAGAAAAGACAGGCCAGACAGGAAAACGAAAAACAGCACCAAGCAGAGTTGATTAGTAGTTAGTTACATCGCTAAGAACAGTTTATAAAGAGAGTTACTCAGTAATGTAATGTTTTCTTTCAAGTGGGCCGGCCTTAGCTGAGCTCTGCGGCGATTACAAGATGAGTAACTTTAAAATGATGTACGGTGATAAAATGTGTGTCAAATGGGGAAAAGTCATGAATTCATTCATAAACAAATAATCTTAACTCGACAGCCACTAACTAGGTTCCTCCTGAGCTGAGAACTGCGCAGAATTCTTACATTTTTAATTTGTTAGAGGAAGAATGTCATATTTTCAAAAGTTACACCCACTAACAGTAATTCTATAATCACAACAGACTGTACGTGGAGACTATAGGTTATTAAACTGCATCTGATTGTTGATTACCAACAGTAATGTTGCATTTATTTTGAATCACTGTCCATAGTGAGGTAAACATTTTAGTTCTTACATTTTGAATCTCCTCAGGCGACAGTAAACCCTCCTGAAGAGAAGACGTGCTCTGCTCCATGTCGTCTGTATTTTCGTCTTTGGTTTCTTTACTTTCACATTCTCCCAGCGTGTCCATGACTTTCAACTCATGAGTGACTTTTCTGTCCTCTTGTTTGTCATCATTCATTTCTAGTCTTTGTTTCGCCTCGAGAGTCTCTTTGATTTCTAAATGTATTTTTTCTTGTGCATTTCTATCTTTTTCCTGCCGCTCATTTTCATTTGTGCCTGTAGCATCTCTACTCTCCTTTCTTCTATAAATATCTACTCCAATTTGCTTACCTATGTTTTCTCCTGGTCTTTCTCTCACAGCCGACTCTGGCGTTACGTTATCGCCTCGACTTTGAAATTCTTTTGCACTTCCTGTCTCCTCTGATGCATTTGTGCTTTGAGGTTTGACAATGTCCTTAAATCCACCTTCTCCCTCGATGTTTACATCCTCATCTGTCTCTACTTCATCTGGTTCTTTACGTATGCTCCTATTTTCTGCAGCATCATCCTTTATTGCCTCCATCTGCATGTCCTCCAAAGTCATCAACATGCTGCTGATTATTCTGTCAAATTCTGCATCTTCCTCATCACTGTCTGTTGCTGTATCCTGACTCTCTTCACCTCCTCTAATCTTTCCCTCTTCTTGTCCCTCTCCTTCCTGTTTGTCTGGCCACTTCGTCTCGGGCTGAGTTACTTGTTGGACTTTTGTCTCGTCCAAGGATATTAACTCCTCTGTTCTCTTTGCTTGGACCACCATTTCTAACTCCATCTCTTGTCCTTTCTCCGTCTCTTTTGCTTTTTTAGCCATATCTTCTTTCAAAAGTTCTACTTTTTCTTCACATGTGGGCCCCTTTGCCATCCTTTCATCCTCGTCTATTGCTCTCTCCTTTGTGCGATCTTTCTTTTCCTCTACCTCTGTTCCATCTTGTTGGACATCTTCAACTTCTTCATCACAGCTCTCAGTCTTAATTTCCTCATTTTCATCCTTTAAATCAAACATATTTACATCCAAGTCTCCAAATGATTCTCTCCTATCCCAATTCTTTACCACTGCTCCCTCCCTCTCAATTCCTTCTTCATTTATTTCCTCCTCCACCTCATTCTCTCCAACTTTATCCAGCTCATCTTCAGTGGAAGAAAACTGAGAAGCACTAATTAGACTGGCCAAATCGCTCAGCGGAATGGCCTGGACGTCTTTTTCTGCCTGCAGTTTCCACAAATTCTCGTCTATCGCTTCCTCCCCCTCTTCACCTCTGCCTGCTCGGTCCAACTCATCCTCCGTGGATGAAAATTGGGTGGCGTTGGCTTGATTAGCTAATCTGCACACTTTCACCGCCAGCTCCTCCTCCTCCTCCTCCTCTCCCATCTTCTCTTCATCCGTGACGCCAACTCCGTCCAACTCATCCTCTGTGGAGGAGAACTGGTTTGCCCTGACTTCTTTTTCCAACTGACAGAGTTTAGAAGTAAGTCCGTCCGTCTTTTCCTCCTCCATATCTTTCTGTTTGGCTCCTTCCCATTCTCCTTCACTCTGGCCATCTTTGTCCAAGTCATCATCAGTCGACAAGTAAGTGAGTCTGGACTGTGCGATGAGCCTGTATAATCTGTATTTCATCTCTTCGTCTACTTCATCTTCCTCTGTTCTTCCTTCATCCAAGTCGGTCTCCATCCTCCATGGCCTCTCATCATCTTCCCCTCTGTCCTTGCTTCCTAGACTCTTATCCTCCTTGTCTCCATCTTTATCAACATCTCTCACTTCAACATCTCCCTCTCCTCCGGTTGAGGACTCAGTAACTCTGCCTGCTAGCTGTTGTAGTTTCAACGTGAGCTCCTCCTCCACCTGATTGGCTTCATGCCCTGTGGCGTCACTCTCAAGGTGTAAACGTTCAGGGGTCGTAGCTCCTGAGGTCAAAGTGCTAGGGGTCGCAGCATCAGACGAATGTTGGGAATGGTTGTCTTTCTCCCTGTAATCCTGTGAAGGTAAGAAATAATAGATTTAAGAATATTCTTTTTCTGGTGAATGGAGTATGGCTTCTTATAATGTTTATACTATTTGCATTTGAGCATCTTACATTTTCTATCCACCTTATTGTTATTTATTTCTATGTAACTGAGGAAGCATTCTAACTGTACAATTCTGGTACTTTATTTTCTGCTATGAATCAGAGATCTTTCCATCTTATTTCATCTCATCAGTCTGTAGTTTTTATTTCTTACCAGCACCGAAGAAGAAAACTCTTTTTTGCTCCTCCTTTTCTTCCGGGATCTCCGGACTTTCCCCATATCTGGCTTGGCAGCCCCCTTTCTCTCCTCTTTGGCTCCTTCCACATTAAAGTTTACATCGAGGATGCTGGTCCTGCAGGAGGATGAAGAGCGACCGATCTCTGTGGGCACCTTCCTCTTAAAACGAGCCAATAGAGGTTTCTTAGGCTTCCAGCTCCCCTCAGGGTCTGAAAACAGATCGTCTCTGCTGCCTGTAAGCGGGGACTGTGTCCTGACACGGGCGCTGTGCTCTGATTTGGTTTCGTTATCCGAGTCCATGCCTTCATAGGCGGACACCACTTCAGACTCTCTCTCCAAGGCACTGAAGACCAGGCTCTTCCTCCTGGTCAGCAGACTGGGACGAGCCAGCTGGGCGCTCTGCAGGGCGATCCAGTTGCCGTCTGGGCTCTTCAGCACCGAGGACACACCTCCATACACACCTTAGCATGCACACACACACACACACACACACACACACACACACACACAGATATTATGCAGACAAGCAGAGACCATATGCCACACAAGCGCACCACACAGAGTAAAATTGCATATGCAGCAAAGTAAAAAAACAAAAGCAGTGGACGAGGTAGGTATTAGCCGACATTGACTATTATATCAATTAGAAATTACTAATATTCTATAGACTTGCTATCGATCAAGTAAACTTTTCTTTGTTGATAGTTAATTCAATATATTTAATATGCAAATGTAGCCAACCAAAACAATGACGACTGGTGGACTTTAAAAAGTTGAAGAGCATTTAAAGATCTTACCAGTGTTGTCCAGCCGTTCAACACTCTTCCAGGTGGACATAGCTGACCCACCTCCGTCCTTTAGCGCCTGTATCAGACCTGAAGGGTCAATGTCCAACAGTGAGAAGGCAGAGTGAGACCTCTGAGAGAAGATGACAAATAAGAATGATTCATTGTTGCGTCACGGTCACACTGCTGGTTAAACTGTTCAACATGATCTATTGACTTTACTTCATTGCCGTCATCCAGAGGTCAGCTCATCTCCCAATGAAGATGAGTTTAGTTTCAGTTTTTTCAGAAAGGTTTTGTTTTAGCTTTTAAATATTTAGTTGTAGTTTAAGTTTGTTTTTGTTGGGGCCAGATATAATTTCTCACAGAATGAAGCTACATATACATAAAAAAAAATACATGGATGGAAAACTATAATGTCTAATGTTTAATCTCCATGCTACTTTAGTGTCAGATATGAAGCCACAGCGCCATCTCCTGGAATGTCAAGTCCGTTCAATTTCTGTGGTTCAATGTCACCGGAGTGAACAGAAATTCATGCTCTCTATTTTTTGGTATAGTGAGATACACTATAGCTAAAAACCTAAAACGAATTCACGTTCCTTTTTATTTCATTTTAATTAGTAGTTTAACCAGGTGGTTTAGTTTCAATGTTTCTTAAAGTATAAAGGAATTTACTAACAACATAATATAATACAATATCATTTTCACTGCTTATTTTTGCTTACTATAGCAAACCTGATCTGAACTCATAGGATCTCTTTTTGTAAAACGTTTCAAGCCAAAAAGGTTGACAGTCACTGGTTTAATCTTCAGTACTTGAGTAAATTAACTTTTCACCACTATTTCTTCTACATGGCTCTTAACATTCATTGTACAAACAAAACCTAAGTGAGTGCGACTCTTTTACCCAGAGATCTGGTTGGTGTTTAAGGGAGCTGGATGCTTGTTCACAGTCAGACTGATGATGATGAGGATGAAGGTCAGGGTTGTGTTCAAGTGGCCAATCCTGGTCATATTCTGCCCTCATCTCAGTCAAAGTTTTCCTCCTGCTAATAATCTAAGAGAGACAGGGACACGGTTAGTGCTGCGTATGGCTCTGTACAAACACTGGTTCTAATGGTTTTGTATTCATATGTGCAGGAGTTATACATTGAAGGAGCAAAACAGCTGACTCACATTTGAGTGTTACACAATGGCCTTTCACACACACAGTAAATCAACCTAATAACACACTATACAACATGTGTGTTTTCATACTTTTTGCACAATAGTTTTTGACAGTTCCTCAATGAGCTCTCCTCTGTGCTCCCGGAGATAGTGAGCCTCATTCTGCTTCTCCTGGCAAACAAAAACAACCAAAACACATAAATAAGAAAGCTATTCGGCACCCCACACCCACAAATGCACGCTATAAGCCGATTACTCTTCTAAACACACACTTTAAATACACATTTACTGCTCTCAGTTCAAAAGCGTCGGAATAACAGATCAGTGAAAAGTATTATTTTTTAACATACAGTGGTATTCTGAAAGGTGGCTGCAGAGTTTTGGGATATAATTTAGGTATTTCTTGCAGATCCACACCGACACTCCTATATTCTGATAAACTGCGATATTATACTAAATACTTGAGCACACCATGGAAAATATTGCAGCTTATATTTTCTTAAAATGGAGTTACTCTGCTGTTCTGATTTAAATTGCTTGAATACTAATTTCACTGTATTTTAATGAAATGCACAGACATCTTTGCTTTTAACTATTCTAATGAGAAATCGTCACTTAAAACAGATACTCTGACCGAGAGATCTCCAAGGAGATGAGGTGAGCCTGATCAACAAAATCAATGTTTTTTTAGAAAGTTTATCATATCAATAGTGTTTATCATATTCAAGTTGATAAACAAAGGGAACTTTAAATCATTAAATTAATTCTTAGAGTTTGTTATAAAAGTGATGTTGAATAGTGAAGTAAAAGTAACTTATTTTTGTTCAATATGGCCAGTGATCCACAGTATTCTGCATTGTTATTGTTGGCCTAACAATGACCCTGATACTGTAGTATTAAACTGTCCTTTGGATTGCAGCATAATCTTGATGTTTTTTTGTTTATAATCGGATTTAAACTCTGAAAATAAAAAAGCAGAGAATTCAGATTAAGGAGGACCGCAGACGATACTTATCAAAGCACATGGACTGCAGACCAACGACAAAAAACATTGTGCAGCATCTACAACACGTCACGGTCAGAAAATAATTGACAGAAAAAAGGTAACTATAGTGCACGGTTGGGAAGTAATGTCAAATCAAACAGCAGTTTTCAGGACACAAAGTGCAAGACAGTGTGTGTGTGTGTACAAGTAATCCATCAATAAATTAGTTTTTATGAGATGTGAACAAAATAAATAACCTGACTGGCAGAGTCAAACTCAGCCTTTGAAATGGCCTCATCGATGGCCTCCTCTGCCACCCGCAAGGCCACAGTGATCGTCTCTGCTATGCTGTGCTCTGAACACAAAGAAACAATAATCACTTGTTATGTTGTTACCTGAATGAACCTTAAATTAGAAATAAAATCATAAACATAGGAAGGAGTAATTGCACAATGTTCAGTTTAATTCTGTATTCAAACTGTGTGTCACTAATCTGCTTTCATTGCTTCATCAAGGCACTACAAAACAGAGACGTGACCATCAGGTCGCTGCAGCTTTTCTTTCATGTTTGCAGTCATTTCATTTAGCCTGCAGTGAACTGGGAGAATGAGGAGACGTCGGGACAGCAAACCAGAGAGCAGAACAGACTGCACACATGCCAAAAGATTACAACAAGAATCGAGATCAAAATGTATCTCTCCACTGTTTCATCTGCTGTAAAAAAATAAATAAATTAAAAAAAAAAAAAAGATATTCATGGCAGCTGGGAACAAATATGAGTTTTTGGATTCCTGAGAGGATTACAATGAATGACCACAAAAAACAACAACCTTGAACTGGATAATGTGGCCTCAGAGGGTCAGTTGCAGCGACTTTCTTATGCAGATTGAATTAAGCTCTTGCTATTACAAGGCTGAATTACCAACTGGCCAAGTAGGGCAAACGCCCCGGGACCCTAAAGATGACAGGTTCACTGAAATGAGTTAATATAAACTGACATGGAAAAAGTCTTACATTGACTCCTGCATTTCATAAGATACATTCACTTGGGACATGAGAATAAAAGCCCCTTTCTCAGGATTAACTTTAGGCTTTTAGCATTTATTTTCTTTGTTCTGCTATTTAGTGAACAATTTATTAGAAATGCTGCACATCAACATATGTTAACTGAACGCATGTAGACGTATACACAGTAGTATAATAACTGAAGTAGTTCTTCTAGTTTTGTGTCACGTTACGAGAAGATACAAGAACACAGAAATAAAAAAGTGAAAAATGTTATTCCAAAGATTGATTTACTAAATATTTCACAACAAAGGTGCACAGAACAAACAAGGATTAGTGAAATCATAAAATATATCTGCACCTTGAGTTTGTCTGTAGAAGGTTGAGTCACTCCCACAGAAGCTGCCCTCATTGCAGATACTGTCCTCATAGGCGCTGCTCTCTGAGCACACACACACACACACACACACACACACACACACACACACACACA